CAGAATGTAGCTTTCACAAACTCATAAAAAAACTTACTTTTAAAAAAATATTTAGTTCTGTGAGAAAAAGTATTTAAAAATTGACATTCTTAGATGCTACATTGCTAATTTCAAGCAATAAAGAAATTACCCTAATTTTAAAATCCTAACCATAAACAAAATTTAATTGCGAGAATCGCTAAAGTCGCAACCAAGAAATGAAGTCACATTTTGGAAGAAAAATGCTAAAGTCTCAACTGAAAAACAACAAGATACAAATTCAAAAATAGCAAAAAAGTTACGATTCTGCAAAAAAAGTTTAGCATTCATTTAGTTTACATTTAGTTTTTAGATTCATTTAGTTTGAATGTAGCTTTCACATAATCGTGAAATTGAAAGCTCCTTTTCAAAAATATTTCGTTTTGTGAAAAAAAAGTTACAAATTGTGACATCATTACATGCTATATTGCTAATTGCAACAAATAAAGTCCTAACTAACAAAATTTAAATGTGAGAAGTCGCAACTACAAAATAAATGTGTAATTCAGAAGAAAAAAGCTAACGTCACAACTGTGAACAAAAAATAAGATACAAATTAGCAATAGCAAAGCAGACTTAATTCTGTGAAAAAAGTTAGAATTGTATAATAAAAGTTTGCAATTATTTTTAATTTAGTTTATTCTGTGACAGATTGTAGCTCTCTCGTATTTATGTTTACGAAAAAAAGAAAAAAATTAACTAAAATATTTAGTTTTGTAAAAAAAAAGGATGTTACAAATATACATCCTTACATGCTATATTGCTAATTGCGACAAATAAAGTCGTAAATGTAAAAAATTTAACTACAAGAATCGATAAATTCACAACTGAGAAATAAAGTCGCAAGAAATAAAGTCGTTTTCAGAAGAAAAAACCTAAAGTCGCAAATGTAAAATTACAAGATACAAACTCAAAAATTGCACAAAAAGTGACAATACTGCAGAGGAAAAGTTCAAATTGTCAATAAAACTTTGTAATTACAGACAAAAAAGACAAAGATGTTCTTTTGAGAAATATTTTATTAGATCGTGCACCGTTTATGACCACTTTTGCCGAGTAATGGAATCAAACTGGTACAACATGCTCAACATAAAGGGCTTAAATAATATTAAAAATTACAAAAACAATCAACAAGCAAATCATACAAAATTCAGACCCTCGGAAAAATAAAAATCTAATTAACCTGAATTCACAAAAAATAAGCATCTGGATTAAAAAACAAAGAAAAAAAAAAACACATATGTTCAAAAATTACACAATAGAATAATTAAAAAACACTAACGAAAGCATTCTTACACCCCTAATGTGAAATATTTTACATTCAGAAGTAAATTCACATTGTTAGTTATGGTTGCGCATGTTGATTTCTCCGGTTTGTTTGATGAGCGATCGCAGTCAAAACGAGATGCAACTTTACAAAAAGCAAAAGAACGACAAAAACGTCACGTCTACGCAGGGGCGACCGGATCAATCTTTGGTACGTGTTTTTTTGCTTTCTGAAATGATGATTCTGTGTCACTTCTGTTCAGAGGGTTGCTCCAAAACGTTGATTATAAAGCTTAGAAATCATGTTATGAAATACTGAAAAACAAAAACGCAAACACACATACAGCCGACCACTAAATTACTGGCCCTCAGGCTAATATTTTATACTCTTTTTCGAATATTTACCAAGCGGTGTTTAACAAAGCAAGGAGACTTTCCTTTTATTATGGAATAAAAAAATTATTAAATAAAATAAAAATGAAACTTAAGTTGTAAGAAATCACGTTTTGTTCGATTAGTTGCAGAACAAACCACTTTTGACCAAAAACGTTAAATGGCACTTTAAGTTGAATGCTAGTATCTTGCAAAATACAATCCTAAAAAGTTAAATATGTTCTTAAAAAATGTAAGAAAAACTTACAAATGCTATAAAAACATTGCAGAACAGCTTTAAACCTCGTAATTGTAACAATCAAAGTCTTAATTAAAATAAAAAAATGAATGAATTAATAAAATTGTGAGATATGAGCTTGTAACTGTGAGAAATAGTCACAATTCTGAGGAAAAAACGTAGAAATGCGAGATATAAACTCACTAATAAAGTTGCAATTAAAAGTCGTAAAGTATTACGAAAAAAAGGTTTGAAGTTCGCAGTTACTATTTACTTTTTATTGTGTAATAGATATGAGCTTTCATAAACTCACAAGACTAAAAACAGTTACATTTTTAAAAAGCTTGTTAAAACGATTGTTTAATAATGTTGAATATATTTTTCGTTAACTACACGGTATAAAATGCTGCGTTCCACACAACTGATTTGTTTTGGGACAACATGAAGGAATCAAGTTAACTTAATTGTTTTGTGTTCAATCTGCTTAAATGTGTAAAAACTACTCAAATTCTCCACCCGAAATATTGTGTTGTTTTAGCTTATTTTAAATGAGTAGTTTGAACAAACAGCAAACGTCATTTCAAAAACTTGCAGATGTTAGAAAATATTGTACAATAGCTTTTAAACTCGTAATTGTAACAATTAAAGTCATAATTAAATTAAAAAATGAATCAATAAATAAAATTGCAAGGACTCAGCTGAGGATAATCAACTCTGAACTGTGAGAAATAAAGTCGCAATTCTGAAAAAAAAAGTTAGAAATGCGAGAAGTAAACTCGCGAATAAACCTGCGATTAAAAGTCAATTATTATGAAAAAAGGTTTGAGGTTCGCAATTACTTTTTATTTTTTCGACAGAAATTAGCCTTTAAAAACTCACGAGACAATAAAACATAACTTTGTCCCATGACTTTACGAAAGCTAATTTCAAGAACAGAATAAAAAGTAAAAAAACCATTGCGAATTTTAAACTTTTTTTTTCGTAATATTTGACGTTTAATCTCAATTTTATCTGTAAGTTTACATCTCGCATTTCTATTTTTTTTCTCTGAATTGCGCCTTTATTTCTAACAGTTCCAAGTTGATTATCTTAAGTTGATTAAGTTATTTATTTATTTAAATTTTTTATTTTCATTAAAACATACTGTTACAATTATGAGTTTAAAAGCTATTTTACAATATTTTTATACCATCTGCAAGTTTTTCTCACAATCTCAGCATTTTTTACCGTAAAAGAAAATTTGATTTGTGATGGGACCCGTGAAGGAATTAAGTTAACATAGTAGCTTTTATCAATTTAAGAGAATTGAACCTTAAATGATTAAGTTGTCCCCGCAAAAAAGTGTTGTTTGAGCTCATTTTAACGAAGTAGTTCGAACAAACAGCAATCGTCATTTTTTGAGTGCAACACTTGTTAAATATATGAAAAAGAATTTAAATTGCACAGGAGGGCCAATAATTTAGTGTAAACTGTGTATATCAGTCATACTCACCCTATCATCTTCAACCCAATGAACGAAGTCAACAACTCTTTGGATTCTAGCGTTCGTCACCAAACCTGCGTCTAAAAGCTAAAAATCTCAAAATCAGCAAAGTAAATTCAGCGCTCACCCAAAACCTGAGCGCCAGAGCTACAGGAACAAATGCTTGGCTACACCAATCAACATCCAGTTTGGCACTTTTGCCCTCCAATTTACACAAATATATATTTCTATCTTTGGAGGGAACGGCATTTTGGCATTATTATTATTTGAAACCTCGATATAAATGGACTCTTTGGATCAGACGTCTTCAATATTGCAAACGATCCTCGCATCGTAAGGCCGTCAACGTCTTATAAAGCTTTTGGAGAATATTTTTGGTTATTTTTCACTTAAAACAAACGTGAAAATAATTTCGGCTCATCCTTCAGTTTGTAAAATGACTTCAAATGCACCACAAAACTGATAAAGCTATTAAAATGCGAAGAAATAATGTTACATTATTTAAATTCGAACACATATGAACATTCTGCTAAATCATGAGCAACCAAAATTGAATAAATCACAATGCAAAATCACTAAGAACTCAACAACAACATGCTTAAAATAATAGATCAACAACTTGATCTGGTTTGGCAAATATAAAACGTTCAGACTCGAAATTACGAAATAATCGCGTGTATAAACTGAGGTATAAAGTTAATTAGACGAGTCATAAAGCAGCTTTCAGAACCTGAGGCACCTTATTTTTGTAGTGGAAAATAAATATGTGAGGTCCAAACATTCAATTTTGTTCTCATTTAAACCCTAGGACTTTCATTAAAAAGGAAAATACAATACACTGCGAAAAAAAAAAACGAGGAAAAAACTAATGTAAATGTGCCTTGATTTAACGATGTTTATACTGGGAAACAAGACATAAATAATTCTGAGTAAAAAGATAAACTTGCAACTGTGAAAATTAGTGGCAAGTCTTAAGTCAAGAGTTAATAATCCTTTTTCTGCAGTGTATAGGAAATATTTCAAATTCTACACTATTTTCAAAGGAAAATAAGCAATGAAACTAGTAATGTTTCTAAAAATTGGACATAGTCAGAATTTTCAATAATAAACTAGAAATTAATGAAAAACAAGCATTATTTGGTAAGACGTTAAGAGGTTGGATAACATTAGTTAATGCATTAGTTAACGTGAAATATAAATAATATATAGCTTTTTAAAGAAATACGGCAATATATTGATTTTTAATGCATTATTATGCATTAATTCACGCTTAATTGTTATAGATTTTTATGTTAATGTTATGCCAATTCTTACTGCAATTTGTATGTAATTTTTAAGATAAATATAAATATTAAGATAAATTTTTTAGTTAATAGAAATGCAGATATTTATTGTTTGTTTGCTTGTCAAGTTAAAAATAATTTAATAGAAATAAATGCAAACTTAAGCTTAAATAAAAATAAATGAAATCAAAAACATTGTTTATATATATATTTATATATATATATATATATATATATATATATATATATATATATATATATATATATATATATATATATAAATAATTATTAAATAAAATTAAACAAAAGTTTAAAAATACATAATAAAAGCTAAAATTTTGCCAAATTATTTCAAAATTTTTCAAGACAATTTTTTCCATCATTATTTTTTCCTTATTATTAATTTCAACATTTATTAATACATTACTTAGATGCCATCTTGTATCTGTGAATCATATTTAATCCCTGATCTGATGCAAACTACCAATAAACGTTTGCATTTCTATTAATTACTCTTTAAAAAAGCGTACAGACATATTGATCATTGTTAATTAATGCATTAACTAATATTAGCCAGTGTTGCACATTATAGTCTGAGAACGAGTGTGATCAGAATAATGAGGTAGAGAGACAGCAGAGCAAACGTCTCTGTCGCTTTAAGAAACAAACAGAAAACACTCGTCCATTAGCGTAAAGCACGTCAGGCGTTCGTCAACACATTCATAAGCAGGAAAAACACATTCATCAGAAACGCTTCATCTTTGGGAATCTCTCCGCGAAGAGAAAAGTTGTGCAAGTTCGTCAAAGTCGGCGGAAGGATAATCCGCGACTTCGTAAAGCTATTTAAAGAAATTTGTTTTTGGCACAAATATCCAGGAGCGATTGCATCCTGAGGAAACGGTGCAATCGTATTTATAGGCTTTGGAATAATTGGCCACGCCCATTCGACTCATAGGCCACACCCACCAGTATCACAGGCCACACACTGAAAAAAAATAACTGATTGGATTTACTATTTTAAGATAAGTGGCCGCGAACAATTTATAAGGGCTTAATCTAAACAAATTAAACTTTGTAATGTTTAAATTAGAGCCCATATAAATTGTTTGCCACTATTTACCTAAAACAATTCAGTAAATCCAATGAACGATTTTTTTTCAGTGCACCTATTGTTGTTGTGGACCATGCCCACTTGTAGCGCACACCACACCCACTGTTGCCATAGGCCACGCTCATTTGTATCACATGCCACGCCCACTCGCGTGACAAACACAGTAGATTTAAATGGGAATCTGCACAAACTGAAGGTTGGAGGTAGATTTGTTTTGCATTTCCTCTAAAACGTTAACAACGCACACAGAGGATGCGGTTTCGTTCGTTTCGTCATCTGGTCGGTATGTCGGTTTTTTTGAGCTGCTGGTTTCCGTCTCATCCTGAGAGTAGTTTCCGGAGTCTCCGCCGCTGGTTTGCGAACTCTCCGACTCCCCCAGTGGCCGATAGAGGATGTGCAGCGACGCCTTTGCCGCCTCGTCCTCGTAACACAGAACCGTTTTCCCCACTTCGTACAGACATGCAGGATCCTCAGTCTGACAAACACAAACATCATATTTAGCCAAAATATTACAATTTGAAAAAAAGACTCAAAAGACTTCAGATAATTAAATAAATACAGACATTCATGTTAATGTTTTCTCATTCAATATTGCAAATATACTGAAAGTTAGCTTAAATGTAATTAGTTGTTAGCTAAATAATTCAAATGATAAAGAAATTATTCAAATATAAATAGTAAATATTTTTATTTAAGACCTAAATTGACTTTTTGGTAATAAATACGAACGAAAATGATAACAAATTATTTTCATTTTCATTTCCTGAAATACAAATAAAATAGAAATATTCATTTAAAATTACAAAAAATATTGTTAGTATAAAAAACATAATAAATAAGTATTTATATATTATACATATATATAATTTATATATATATATATATATATATATATATATATATATATATATATATATATATATATATATATAATTTATATATATATATATATATAAAATCATATATATAATTATATATTATATATTTTTATAATAAAAAAATCAGAAAAATTAAAATAATGACAATAAAATGTGTTTAATTTTTAAGGATGTTTTTTTTCAAGAGTAAGCATTGATGATTAAATAAATGCAGACATTCATGTACATTTTTTCACATTCAATACTGCGAATATACTAAGAGTTAGCTAAATTGTAAGTAGATGTTAGCTAAATTAAAGTAAAAAATTTATTTAAGACCTAAATTGACTTAAACTGACTGGTAATAAATACGAACGAAAATTATGACAAATTATTTTCATTAACTGAAATACAAATAAAAAAGTAAATATTTGTTTAAAATTACTAAAAATATTATTTAAAAAACATATAATAAATAAGTTAAAAAAATTATATATATATATATATATATATATATATATATATATATATATATATATATATATATATATATATATAGATAGATATGTAAAAATTATTAAAAGCAAAATTGTACTTTCAATTACGTACTGAAAAATTCTAAATAATCTAAAAAATGACAATAAAGCATCAACATGACTTTCTGCAATTAAATACAAACAAGAACTATTACAACTATGGGTAAAAATGTAAAATTTGCTTACCCAAAATCTCAATTTTTTAAAGGTGTTATTTAAATTAAATAAAAAAACAATATAAAAATACAATAAACTAAAATAACAACAATTCAAATAACCCACTGAAAATACAAAAACCAAAAATTTAAACAACATAAATAAAATGTAGCGTCACACAAACAACTATTGCAATTGACAACCAAATAAAACGAGCTAAAATTATTATGTAAATACAATCAAACCAAAAGCTAACAACATTAAAGTACAATTACCGAATACTGTTTTACGTTGAGTAAAATAATATTAGCATTTAATACACACAAATACTTTAAAGGTACAGTTGTCTGAGCAGCTCACCTCATTTTTACTCTCATTAGACCTCTGGGAATGATTGAAGATGCTCCACCTCTTCCGCTTGGTTTGAGAACCACAATTGATGGGTCCAGCATGGTTTATTAGCAAATTTGATCCTCCCTGAAACCAAACAAAACATCTATTTTAAACCTGTTGTAAACATCATTTCAACATGTGCTATTAGTAATATATATCGCCCCTTTATCCGTTATATATAATGCTTTTAGATGCCATTTTTACTAATTACTCAAAGTATTCACTCTTTTTTAATCTCTTTTCTTACTTTTAAATAATAATAATAATAATAATAATTGTTATTATTACTATAATTATTATTATTTTATGGAATGCAGCAGTAATGCATTAAAATAGCCTAAGAAACACGGTAACAAAAGAAGGAGAAAGATTAGGGAAATAAAAAGCAAACAGAAAAAGCAGACTCTTACTTTGGCATCAATAAAGTGATTCCTCATCATCGGCAGAAGCACCTCTGCATTCTCCGCTGGCTGCTGATTGGCTGACGAGGCCTCATTATGCATGACCTCATTTCTCATTGAACCAATCATCTTTGAGGAAGCTGATTTCCTGCAGAGAGAAAACAACACTGACTGTTATTCCAGCAACATTGAGAGTTCTTTATTCAGCCTTATCTGCACTGTAAAAAACGTCTTACTGCCTTAAATGTTTAGTTTAATCAAACGATTTTTTTCAATTCATGCTAACTTACATTAGTCAAACTGAATAAAAATATTAAGCTTTGTATACCTAATTTTTATTTAAAAAGTTAAAGTTTTGTTGTGATACTACTTCTGCAATAGTATTTTTAATAGTGCGTTGTAATGCAGACAAAGACACACACGGATAGTGCTGAGACTCACTGTGTTTGAGTTTTGGAGAGGAGGATGAAGATGCAGAGGATGATGCAGGACAGAGCAATGCAAACACCAACAATGATTCCGCTCATCGACTTCTCATCGATGTGATACAAACCATCGATAAACGCTGCACAGAAATAGAGGTGAAGTCAGAATTATTAGCCCTCCTGTGAATTGTTAATCCTTAATTTCTGTTTAATGGAAAGTTCAACATATTTTTGAACATAACACTTTTATTAACTCATTTCTAATAACTGATTTATTTTCTCTTTGTCATGATGACTGTAAATAATATTAGACTATATATTCTTCAAGACACTTCTATAAAGCCTAATGTGACATGTAAAGGCTTCACTAGAGTAATTAAGGTAAAGTTAGGGTAATTAGGCAAGTCATTGTATAACAGAGATTTGCTCTGGAGACAATCCAATACTAATATTGCTGAAGGGGGCTAATAATATTGACCTTAAAATAGGTGTTAAACAATTAAAAACTGCTTTTATTCTAGCCAAAATAAAACAAATGAGACTTTCTCCAGAAGAACAAATATTAAAGGAAATACTCTGAACAATTCCCTAATCTGTTCAACATCATTTGGGAAATATTTAAAATTTACATTGGGTTTACATTGATTAAAATATAATCAGACACATTTTTGGATGTAAAATCTATTAATATCTTTCAATAATTTTGGGATATTCAGAGGATCTACATATAGACTTTGTCATTTAAACAGATTTTCTTCAGTCGTTGCTTTATGCTTACCTGTTTTCTCAGCATGGCTGTCAGCATGACGAGGGTTTTTACCGTGGTGAGGTTTACCCTTGACCGCCAGCTCGACCGTGTTGGAGAACGGACCGTCACCCGCCAGGTTAGACGCTGAGATCTTCACCAGGTAAACATTACCTGACTCCAGCTTCTCCAGGAGAGCCATTGTGTTTGTACCTGAAATCACAGCATTATTTATCATTATTAATCATTATTCTGAGAAAAACTGGTCAATCAAATAATCCTATCAGAAATTTGATGGTAAATATACAAATCAAGGCATTATCTCTTTATATATTATCTAACGTGTATTTTCAGAATATAATTGTGAATACTGCAGTAAGTCAGCCTTAAAACTCTTTGATTTTGTTGACATATTAGAGTTAAGGGTTTTTGGATATGTATTTATATCTCTCTAAAATGGGAAAATATTGCCAACGGACAGGAAAAACGGCACATTTTCAGGATTAAAATGTTACATAAATCTGTGTGAATGATATATGAACAAACCCCACAGTAAAATCCTTCAGAATATAGATGTAAATAAAGCTGTCAAGTTTGGTGCATGTAGGTGCCTCTGAAGTGGAGAATAAAATACTTTTCAGAAAACAGCTTAATGCGTTTCACCGTATTTTTAGAGATAAAATGTTATATATTATTTCATATGAATTATACATGAACTAACCCCTCAGTAAAAACCTTCAGACTATAGATTTGAATAAAACTATTAAAGTTTGGTTTATATAAGTTCCTCTGAAGTAAAGAAAAAAGCTAATTTTTACAAAACAGCCTTCAAAACCTCAGAAAAATATACATATTTCACCATATTTTTTAAATGTTACATTAATCAGTCTGAATAAAATATGAACAAACCCCACAGTAAAAACCTTCAGAATATGGATGTAAATAAAGCTGTCAAGTTTGGTGCATGTAGGTTCCTCTGAAGTGGAAAAAAAAACAAATTTGAGAAAACAGCTTAATGTATTTCACTATGCTTTTAGGAAAAAATGTTATATATTAAATTATATTAAAAAAATATGAACAAACCCTACAGTAAAAACCTTCAGACTATAGATTTGAATAAAACTATTAAGTTTGGTTTATATAAGTTCCTCTGAAGTAAAGAAAAAAAGCAATTTTTTACAAAACAGCTCTCAAAACCTCTGAAAAAAATATATATTTCACGATATTTTTAAAATGTTGCATTAATCAGTCTGAATGAAATATGAACAAACCCCACAGTAAAAACCTTCAGAATATAGATGTGAATAAAGCTGTCAAGTGTGGTGCATGTAAGTGCCTCTGAAGTGGAAAAAAACAACTAATTTGAGAAAACAGCTTAATGAATTTCACCATGCTTTTAGGTATAAAATGTTATATTATCTAATATGAGTTATACATAAACAAACCTTACAGTAAAAACCTTAAGAATTTAGATGTGAATAAAGATATGAAGTCTGGTGAATATAAGTGCCTCTGAAGTAAAGAAAAAAATAGATTTTGTGAAATCAAAAACATTTTAAAAATAATAATATAGCGTGTTTTTAAAATGTCATATAAATCAGCAAGAATGACATATAAACAAACTCCACAGTAAAGACCGTCAGAACACTTATATGAATTAAATTATTAAGTTTGGTGCATGAAGGGAAGTGAAGAAAGAAAATAATTTTTTAGAATGTGTCCTAAAAATGCACTTCACCAAGATTTTAGGTATAATATTTCATATTAAGTAATATGAATTTTATATTAACAAACCCCACATTAAAAACCTTAAGAATTTAGTTGTGAATCAAACTATTCAGTGTGCTGTATATACGTTCCCCTAAAGTAAAGAAAAAACAAATTTTCTGAAATCAGCCTTCAAAAAACCAAAAGCCCCATGGTTTTAGAATAAATCAGTGTGAATAATATCAGACGGATAATTTTGACTCACTCATATCAAGAGATATTGAGAAAAAGCCTTAAAAGTCATGCGCTGAAATTGAGATCTGAAACACATTGCTATGCATTTGTTTTGCTGACCTTCTCTCTGCAGGACCTGCCATTCTCCAGCGAGCCACGAGCTCTGAGATGCGTACAGGACGGTGTAGTGTGTAACAGACAGATTTGGCTGATTCGGCTGCTTCCAGCACACCAGCGCCGTGTCAGCCTCGATGAGAGTCACTTTCACAGACTCCGGCGGAGACATCGGGGCTGTAGGAACAATGAAGGAGAAGATTATGCTTTTCACAGTTTTTTTGTCTTATTTCTAGTCTAAAAATCTGAAAGTTTCTTAATCATGAAGCATTTTCTAGACAAGCAAAAATGTTTGTCTTGTTTTAAAAAAATAATAACTCAAAATTAAGTGAGTTTTTTTACTTAAAACAAGCTAAATAACATGCCTATGGAGTAAGCAAAATAATATTTCAAAGCAAAAACACGTTTTTATTTTGTTTACCCCATAATTCTGTCACAGTTTACTCACCTTTCACAAACCTGATTGAGTTTCTTTCCCACAAAATAGGTTATTTTGGAAAATGTTGGAAACTGCTGTCCATTGACATACATTGTATTTGATTTTCCTACTATGGATGTCAACAGTGTCCAATATTATTTTAAATATATTATTATTATTATTATTGGGTTTGACAGAAGAAAGAAACTTGTGAGCTTTTAGAAGCACTTTAGAGAAAGTAAATTGTTAGTGAATTTAAGTTTTGGGGTGAACTATCTCTTCCAATATAATACATACTGATCTTCCCTACTCGTTCATTCATTCATTTATTCATTCATTTTCCTTCAGCTTAGTCCCTTATTTATCAGGCTCCGCCACAGCAGAATGAACCGGCAACAATTCTAGCATATGTTTTACAGGGGGAACATGCAAACTCCACACAGAAACAACAACAGACCCAGTCGGGACTTGAACCAGCAACCTTCTTGCTGTGAGGCAACAGTGCTGACCACTGAGCCACCATGTCGCCCATCTTCCCAAATAATAGTTTGCATTTCAAATATAAAACAGAAAAGTACAAATGTTTTGTCTGATAAATATACCTTCCAGTAGAGTTCTCTGATACACAGTGGCGCTCCAAGGACTGGACATCTGATCCATATGCAGACGCACAGCAAACTCGTAGCGTGTGTTCGGCTGGAGACCTGTTACCATCACGGTTTGCTCAGAGCTAGAGAGAGAGAAAACATGACGACTGAATACACAAGCTAATCTGCTGTTGAAGGAACACTCCACTTTTTGTGGAAACAGCCTCATTTTACAGCTCTTCAGAAGTTTAACAGGTGAAGTTTTACCATTGTTAAATCCATTTAGACACTCTCCGGATCTGGCAGGAGCACTTTTAGCTTAGCTTAAGCATAAATCATTAAATTGGATTAGACCATTAGCATCTCACATCTCCAATTTGCATAATTTTCATAATTAAAGCCTGACTCCTCTATAGTTACATCAAGTACTAAGACTAGATTTAAAAAGCTGGTAAATATAGCTAGAGGAGCTAAACTCTCAATAATAAGGGACGTTGCTGTTTTAACATGGCTAAACCAGGGTTATGATATTACACAGTGCCTAAAAAAAAGTCCCCTAAACATCAGTTAGAATCTGCATAATATCATTCCACCTGCTGCAGTCAAGCTAAAAGTGCTTCCATCAGGCTCAGAGATCAGCTGAATAGACGTAATAATTTTAAAACTCAACTCTTTAATTCTGTAAAATGAGCGTATTTCCTGAATAATGTAGTGTTCCTATAACCTTTAGCATCACTTACGTCTGGATGTAGCGTACGCTGGAGGCTTCAGACGGACTCGCGGGCCCGTAGCGGACGGAGAAAGTGACCGGTTTTCCAGAGCTGAACGCAGGACGACCCCAACTCAGATGCACCGCAGACGAGCTGTTAGCTTTAGCATGGGTGTGGTCTGGAGGCGGAAGAGCAGCTAATCGGCGGTTTGGTGTAGCTAATAAGGAGGATCAGATATTACAGTTTTATTATAAAAAAAAATCATGCATATAATTAGAAATTATATGAATTTAATAAATAGAAATTATCGAAATATTTATTTATATATTTAGATATGTTTTTATTTACAAATTTATTTTAAAATGTATAAGTTAATATTTATTTAATTATTTAAATATTTATGTATACATTTTTTCACTTATATAATTACTTATGTATACCTTTACTTACTCATATATTTACTTATTTACATTTTTACTTATTTATGTATTTACTTATACATATTCACTTTTTTAAATATATATTTACTCATTTATACATTTATTCACTTTTATACTCATGTATATATTTACTTATTTTTGGCTTTCTTATTCACTTATTAACATATTTATTTAAATATATATTTACTTATATATTTACATTTAAACTTATTTACATATTTACTTATTTATGTAATAAATAAGTATCTATCTACATTTTTCTTTCTTTCTTTTTTTACTTATTTATGTAATTATTTATTTATTTGTATATTTATTTACTTATATACTTATTTATTTACTTATTCATATATTTACATATTTATTTAATTTGTTTATTTAATTTATTATTAATATTTTCTATTTATGTATTCATTTACTTTTTTATATTGGCTTTTTATTGACTTATTTACATATTTATTTACTTATTTATGTACTTATATATTTACATTTCTATTTATTTATTCACTTATATACTTATTTATTTACTTATTCATATATTTACTTATTTAAATATTTATTTACTTTGTTTATTTAATTGATTATTAATATATTTTAATGTTTTTATCTACTTTTTTATTGGCTTTCTTATTGACTTATTTACATATTTATTTACTTATTTATGTACTTATTTATTTATTTATTTATGTACATTTCTATTTATTTACTTATTGACTTACTTATATATTTACTTAACATTTTAATGCCATATCAGCAGCATTGGCTATTTTTATGACAACACTTGTACTAAGTATTTAAAATATAATTTACAATCATAACAGTTTCCTAATACCCACGTATTAACACATCAAACATACTAAAAACACACAATTAACAACACCAATAAAACATCAAATAAAACACAAACACTAAATAAAAAGCTTCTCTAATATCATTTAAACATATACATACTATTATAATAAGTTTTATAATCAAAATATTCTTACACAACTTACAAATAGGTTTCTCTTCACTGCAAAAATGCTGTTCTTACTGAGAGTTTTTGTCTTGTTTCCAGTCCAAATATCTAAAAAGTCTTAAATTAAGAAGCATTTTCTGGACAAGCAAACAATATTGTCTTGTTTTGAGAAATAATGATTCAAAATGAATTGAGTTTTTCCTTAAAACAAGCCAAAATAATCAATTTAGAGTTTAAATTAAACTTAAAAGCATTTTTGCAGAGTTCCCCTTTCAATAAATATGAGTGTGTAAGTCTTGAGTGTGAAAAAGATTTCAGCTAGTAACGTAAGCTAAGCACTGTAAAAACATACAACACTTTAATGGTAAAATGAGTGTGAACTGAAGGTGAATTTGAAATTAAATGCATTTAAGTTCTTACATGGACATCCAGGAGTGTTGACCGTTTGATGGGCCTGATATCCGTCTCCATTAGCACTGAACGCTAACACTTTCACATGGTACTTCACTCTAGGGTCTGGAGAACAAAATAAATCACATTAACATTGCAAATTACCATTAAGACGTCACGTTTTTGTAAAGTGCAGTACACTATATGAACACTAGGTGGAGCTGCAGATCTGCTCCAAAGATATCAGAATATTTTAATTTATGCAAATTATCCGTCAACAAACATCACAAAAAAAAATGATGGATTATGAAAAGTCAGGAAATAAAGTCAATTATGTTGCAATAGCATGCCTGTTTGTTCGCATACA